GATTTTGAACTCTACAAAATTAAAAGCGGCAGAAAGGTTTATCTATTATGAATGAGACCAGATTATCAAATATCATCATTCTCTAGCAAATGGGGAATATAATCTTGATTTGACTGGAGGAAGTGCTGTAAAATGCTGTATTATTTATGCATTATTTACAACCGAGTAAACTCATCAGGAACTTCATCCAAAGAGTTGTTCAGTGGCACAGATGTTTCCCCAATATGAACTTGGAAACTTTACCAGAGTGGACACTGTCGATTTTGGATCAAGAAATGTTACTAGTGGCACACTGACATTCTTTTCCTGGTGAATCCAATTCTGTATGGTCATTCCTATCATGGAATCAATGCCAAAACTGGAGAGAGTAGATTCTTTGGTAAAGTCTGTAGGATCTGTGTTGCTCACTTCAGACAACAAGGTTATTATATACTGTGCAGGAGATATTGCTAATTACTGATTGCTTTCTCAACATTTGACAGAGCTGAGATGTCACAGGCCACGCAAATGATCCTTGTCCCAATCTCATTCTATAATTTTCTAAATTCCTCCTGCTTCTCCTTTGATGGAGAGCTCCTTGAAAGAACAAGAATATAGCCACCGCCATGGTTAGCAATGAATTTCACTCTTTCAAAGCCAAGAGCTGTAAGTCCTCCAGCAACTATATACACAGCATCACTTTTAAAGAGTTGCTTTTGTCTGCGGTGCATTGGAATCTCTGACATCCTCGTCTTGGTGGTGCTCTTCAGAACTGCAATGGAGACATCTCTCTATATAAAGTACGACTCATTCCTGCACTCAACCATGTCTGATATTCTTTGCTGACAGATCATTTTTGATAGATCAAAATGTTTCATCCCTAAATACATTGTTCTCATCCATTTATAGATGCAATTTGCAGATTTCATGAGATAGCCCTTTTGAAATATACTGGCTAACTGCAGAACATGAATACAGACATTGTCCTTTTCATTTCGGAGAAAGTCTTGTGAAATAACAAGCATCTGCGTGTTGTCCAGGAGAACAACAATATCCCGAGCAGAAGAACCACTGACATATTTTGAAATAGAAGTTTTTTCAAAAGGTGGCAATAAAAGCAAAGCATCAAAGTGAACAGGAATCTGTACAAAGTCATTGGAGTCTGGGTGAACCTGAACTCTCCAGCCAGACTCCCTGGCTGTCAGAGACAAGACTTTACTCAAACACGAATCAGGTATCATGGAAACAATTACCAAGCGTTTCTGATGTTTGGGTATTGGTGAGAGATTATGGAGTATTTCCTATGCTATTGCGAAGTATGACATAAGAGCATAAGAATTAGGAGTAGGCCTTTCGGCACCTCGAGCCTGCCTCGCCATTCGATAAGATCACGGCCGATCTTCTGACCTAACTCTAATTACCTGCCCTATCCCCATATCCCCTAATCCCTCTATGTTTTAAAAATCTATCAGTTTCAGCCTTGAAGATGTTCAAAGACTGAGCATCTACAGCCTTCTGGGGTAGTGAATTCCATAAATTCACTACCCTCTGAGTGAAAAAATGTTTCCTCAACTCTGTTCTAAAAGGCTGACCCTTAATTTTAAGACTGTGACCCTGGTTATAGATTCTCCTACCAGGGGAAACAGACCCTCAGTGCCTACTTTATCCAGCCCTTTAAGAATCTTATGTTTCAATAAGATCTCCCCTAATTCTTCTGTACTCTAGAGAATATAGCCCTAGTTTATTCAGCCTATCCTCAAGGTCAGTCCCCTCATCCCAGGAACTAACCGAGTGAATCTACGCTGCACCCCCTCTAAGGCAAGTATGTCCTTTTTTAAATAAGGAGACCAAAACTGCACACAATACTCTTGGTGCGGTCTCACCAAGGCCCTATACAGTTGCAGCAAGACTTCCCTACTCTTGTACTTTAAACCTTTGCAATGAACGCTAACATGCCGTTCGCCTTCTTAGTTGCTGCTGCATCTGCAAACTAACGTTTTGAGACTGATGTACAAGGACACCCAAATCCCTCTGAACACTAACACTATCTAATCTCTCCCCCTCTAGAAAATAATCTGTTTTTCTATTTTTTCTACCTAGGTGAATAACTTCACACTTCCCCGCATTAAATTCCATCCATCACCTATTTGCCCACTCCCCTAGCCTATCTATATCCCATTGCAATCTTTTTGCATCATCCTCAGAGCTTACTCTCCCACCTAGTTTAGAGTCATCCGCGAATTTGGATACGTTACATTCAATGTCCTCGTCTAGATCATTGATGACACACAAGGGATCTCCTTCAGCAATGGTAGTTTCCTGCTTTTGAAACAAACAACAGCAGGAAGGCTGACATTTAAAGCTGCAGGAACCGGGTAACATGCAACAATATGATCTCCCCATCAGACAAGACTATCACATTAGCTACTGCTGCAATATCTACATCACTGATAGAGCTGATGTGAATGATCTGAAATAAAATCTCTGGAATTTCTGCAATGCATGATCTGGTCATACCCCACAGGGCAAACCCTGGAGTAATTTGATCCACTGTTTTTTCAGATGTCCTGTATGCTATTACTCTAACAGATTTTGTGCCACTTTTCCCTCGAACTAGCTGAATGATCTGACGATAAATCTCACAGCAGCTACTGACCTCCTGCACTACTGCTGTGCTGGTCTGGTCAGTCAGGTTTACAGTCCCCCACAGAAATAACACCTCCTCATAGCTATTCAGGTTGTGGACATTGTACTTTCTCAGAAGATACACAAGTTCTGTACCAGTGGAATTGTCGTGTTCCTGGTAAGGAATATATGTGGAATGACTGTGCAGGAACTTCTTGAGGCTTTCAGCCACTCCATAGTTATCACCAAACACTCGTGATCTTGGGCCAGAAGCAAGATTTTTGCCCTCTTGAAGGTGAGAAATTTCTACCCAGATACTTTCATAGAACAAATCATTGATTCCTCCTCCATTGTTCACGGTTAGAAATGTGGTTCTGATATTTTTCAGTTCGGCAATGATTATGCCCTTTGTATCTGTGAAGCCCCCACAGACCTCTAGATAATCTGGAATGATTTTACTGATCCTCAGATACATCAGCATTTCTTGTTGTAAAGGGCGATGAATAACCAAGCTCCCTACAGATGTGGGGAACCCCATGCTGGAGACTGCAGACATCATTGTTACAACAGCAGCCATTTGTAGAAAATAGTCTAAAATGATTGGGTGAAAGAAGTATTGATGAATCTATGACATGAGCTCTTCTGCATGTTATAACTTCCTTCAAATTCTCTCCATAGAAGATATCCCCAAGTTGCCTAAAAACTGATCCATACTGAAAGCCTAAGGAAGAGAGTTCTTTACAGATGTCCTCTGGCATTGCTCGATTTACACCTTTGGAAAATTTGCTCAACCGAGATATTACTTTCATCAGTGACCTATAGTACCTCCCCTGTGGCACAAATACCAGAAGATGATAAAATACTAAATTTGATCAGTTTATCTTCTCTGTTGAGGTGCACTTTGAGCTCAACTGAGTTCTGGTGGATTATACAAGGATTCAGAAACTTTGCACTGATCCGGCACAAAGTGAGTGGTACTTTTGGTTCAATACTTGCCAGGACGGAAGCCACACCAAGTTCTACATGAAAGGCACCGGGAAGCATAGGCACTCCATTGTTTTTGTGTTCAGCTACATAAGGTACTATGAATGTTGACAAGGTGAAGTTATATTCTTTGCCATCCTTGCTTACACTAGAGAGTAGGGGGTGATGGGAAGATAGCCTTCAGCCATTTTGCCCCCCTCTGGAGTTCCATCCACTAATCACTCTGCCTCGCCCCCTCCTTAGCCTCCTTGAAGTCCCGCCTCAAAACCCTCCTCTTTGACCATGCCATTGGCTACCCCCTCCCCTACCCTCTCCCTTCCTGACACCAGCTCAGGTCTGAAATGCTATCCAGCGACTTGGGACGTCCTCCCGACATGAAAGGTGCTATACAAATGTAATCTTGTTGTTGCTGTCTTTCAATGCCTATTAAAGCGATGAAAGAATAGAATTAGAGAATGTTTAGACCACCAAAGGAAGCCAATACCTTCCTATTGCTATTAGCCCCCAAGTTCCTGTAGGGTCAAGGTATGATGACCCAGAGGTGACCATGTGTTTGAAAAGTGATTGGATGGACGATTTCAGGAATGTGATTGAATAATTGAATTGTGAACTCTAATTGGGCAATTCAGGTATCGGTATTATTTAAGAAATAATAACGTTGAAAGGATATGAGACTGAGTAGTTCGACATCAGGTAATCGACATGAAGTAAGGCAGGTCTGTCCCTTATCCCCCAACCGGTTTGTCTGCAGCATCGAACCCTTTCCTCAGGCCATCAGGAGGGACAAGAGCATCAGAGGTGTCACCAACCCGGGCAGCCACGGTACACAACCCAAGGCCTCCCTGTATATGGATGATGTCGCCATCTTTTGCACAGACCAAAACTTGGTCTCGAGATTGCTAGGCATTTGCAACCGTTTTGAGCAAGTCTCAGAAGCAAAGATCAACTGCCAGAAGAGCGAGGTGATGTATTTTGGAGACTGGAAAGAACGCAGTCACATACCAAAGTCCTCGGCGTCTAGATCGAGGCTGCCGGGGAGTGCCCAAAAAGCTGGGAGAAGAGTCTAGGTATAGTGAGGAAGAAATTGGTGATGTGGCACCAGCGCTCGCTATTCATCACCGGAAAAAATCTGGTGATAAAGTGTGAGGCCCTCTCAGTGTTAAAGTACTTGGCCCAGGTCTCGCCTTTGACCAAGAACAACGCCACTGCAATCACTAGACAGGTCTTCCATCTGAATTGGGGGTCCAAGATGGATCGTGTCCACAGAGACACGCTGCACAAAACGGAAAGGTGGGGGAAAGAGTCCCCAACGTAGCCCTGATCCTCATAGCCACATTTATGTGTAACTGCCCGAGGCTGTGCCTGGAGCCCTGCTACGATGGCACTAATGCCGCTATATGATGAGTTTCTACCTGTAACCGGTGCTAGGAAGAGTTTGATACTGCCTGAGATAAGCATTACATTGACACGTGGTTCAATGATGCAGCTCACTCCTCCACAAACAGCCATCTCACAGTCACCTGAAAGAGCAAGGTGGGAATTTTAACCAGTGACTCTATATAAACAGTGCCAGCTAAATAACAGTGCTTTAGAGCGTTAATATGGATTATTATAAGATAATGATTTCTGCAATACGATAGAGGCATGGCTTTCTTCTGCTGTTTGTACATTTGTCACATTAGCATAGAGATAACTCACCTATAATTTGAGGTGCTGAAGCTTTATATAAAAAAGGGGGCAGGTAAACAATTACCTACCGGTTACCCGCTGTAGGTGGCTGTATTTACCTGTCCCTACCAGTTACCTCCCATGATGCTGTAAACTGTGCTTCATGATGTGTGTACAATGTATTGATGCAACCACAAAGGTGGTTTCTGGTACCTTGTTTGATGGCCTGAGAAGCGTAGTGTAGAGCGTCCAGAGATGAAGAGCACGCTGTGTCTATAGCCAGTGATGGTCCAGTAAAGTTGAAGGTGAACAAAATCCTATTTACAGCTATGCTCATTGCTGTACCAGTGCCATTATAATGGCTGATTCTGTTGGCTGAATTATTCATTATCGCTTCAAAGTCTCGATTCATGAGCCCTAAAGAAAAGGAAAGAGACTGAAACTGTTCTTTTGGAGTGATAACTTTAGTCTATTCTGAGGCAATATTGAGTGAGATGTATTAGTGAATAGAAGAGTAGAATCATTTACATTTATGGCACAAAAGAAGGCCATTGTGTCTGTGCCGGCTCCCTCAAGAGCAATCCTTTCAGTCCCATTTGCCTGCGCTTCCCCCATAACTTTGCAACTGACTTTTTAAGATATTTGTCTAATTTCCTCTTGAAGGCCAATATGGATTGTGCTCTGGGCAGAATTGTATCAGTTCCTAACAACTCAAAAACTTTCTCCTTAATTCCCCATTTGCTCGTTTAATATCTTATATTGACGCTTTGAGATGTCTCAACGACATGATGAGGCGCTATATCAAATGCAAGGATTATTTCTTAAATAATTTCTCCCTATTGACTATCAATCATCCGGATGAAGTTCCCCACCCCCTGCCTTGAACCCCTCTCCACCCAGCTGCTGGTCACTCAACTCCCCCACCTCTCCAACCTGCTCGCCGATACGGTTAACCAGTCTCTCTCCTCAGGCTCTGTTCCACTGCCTTAAAACTGCTGTAATCACACCCCTCCTCAAAAACCCACCCTTAATCCCTATAATCTCTCACACTATCATCCCACTGTGGAGTCCTGTATCTCAGTGGTTGGAGCACCCGCCTTGTAAGCGAGAGAACTGGGTTCTATTCCTGTCAAGACGAAATGTTGGGCAAGTTTCCTTACTCCACACGTCTGTTTACCAAGCAGCAAGTAGGAACCCAGTTGTTAGCCGATTGGCAGATCACTTTTCCAGGGATAATAATCCCTCAAGAAAACAAAACAAACCAATAATGATTTGGTCACTCAATCCACAACTGATTGTGCGACACTGCTGTAAGCAATTAGCTGCCACGCTTCGCCCACAAATATACAGTTAATTCACCTTACAGTATATTCTGCGAAGCGCTTTGAGACATCTAGAAGATGTGTAAAGCGCTTTATCAAATGCAAGGGTTATTATTATTAATCAAATTTTAAATACCTTTATCAGGTCACCCCACACTATTTTTTGTTCCAGCAGAAAAGTCTAAGTTCCTCCAGTCTCTGCTCATAGAACGAACCATTCATCTCTAGTATCATCCTAGTGTATCTCCTCTCTACTCTGTTTATTATAATAATAATATAATAATAATCCTTGCATTTGATATAGTGCTTTTCACGTCGAGAAGACGTCCCAAAGCGTTTCACAGAACACACTAAAGTGAATTGACTGTATATTTGTGGGCGAACGCGGCAGTCAATTGCGCACAGCAGTGTCCCACAAACAGTCGTGGATTGAAAATGACCAATTTATTATTGTTTTGGTTTTGGAGGGATTATTATTAGGCTCTGTGTGGAGTAAGGAAACTTGCCCAAGGTTTCGCCCTCTGCCGGGAATTGAACTCAGGTCTCTCGCTTGCAAAGCGAGTGCTCTAACCACTGAGCTACAGTACTCCACAAATTCCCTTGATGTCTTTCCTAATATGATGTGACCAATACTGAACACAATATTCTATTTATTGTCTAACTAACACTTTATATAAGTTATCATTACCTCTTTGCTTTTATATTCTATAGCCCTATTTATAAAACCTAAGAATCAATTAGCTTTTTTGAAAGTTTGTCCACCTGGGCATTGCTGTGTGCAGATTGGCTGCCACATTTGCCTATAAAATACAGTCACAACACATTACAATAAATCTTGTGAAGCTTTTTGCAATTTCCACCCAAAATGAAAGGGTTTATACAAATACAACGATTGTTATTCTCATCAAGTTCAACAAAAATCTACTCCATCATAAAGTTCACCACAACCTCCCTTGGGCCAACAACCAAATGTGGTCCCCATCATCATTTTAATTGAAAATGAGTTCCAGCAATTACATGATGATGTAGTTATTCTATGAATTATGATAAATATTTCATGAACTGACAAAATCATGTGGTTGAAAAATTGGCTATTATGTTGGGCAGCGGGCACCTACTCACCAATAAAAAACCCTGTTTTACTCCCACTGAGATCCTCCTTGGGCATCCCTGCATTTTCAAGCGCTTTGTACGTGCACTCCAAGAGAAGCTTGTGTTGTGGATCCATGCAGTTGGCTTCTGTTTCATTTATGCCAAACAACTTATAATCAAATAAATTGAACCTATTAATTGCAAAGAAATATGAAAGTTAGGCATATATAGATGCATTAACATTATTTTTTTTAAGTGCTTGAGGTTCAACATTTAATATTTTATTTAATCATTTTGTATGTAGCTTGAGCTCAAGCTGTCAGAGAACACTTCTTAGTCCAGGGCACACAAAGCATCCTGGAGTTCCCACATGGCACACATTGTGAATGCAACCAGTCTCAGCTGCCCTGCCATATTCCCAGACATGTTTTAATATAAATATTATATAATTATGCACCTCTTTACCCCTTCCCACCAAATTCCTTAACAGATTCTCCCTCTGTTCTCTCCTCATGCTGCTAGGCTTTCTGTTTAATTGAGACACTTACAAGTCTTCTTCTTTATAAAGGACTCAAACAGAAACACCCAGTTTCAACTGGGCAGCATATCTTTTAATCTCGAACACCTGGCCTATGATTAACTGCAAATCACTTTGTTTGCTTGCTTGCATATAAGGTTGCCTCTACCTCATGATAGACTTCCCACTATTCTGCTGAATGAAAGAGTTCACTCTTGCTCTCTGGTATCTCACTTGCTCTCTCTCTCTTGTTGAAGAATTCCCACTATCACCAAATTCCTTAACAGAATTCTCTCTCCATTCCACCTCCCTTGGTTCCCTCCTCATCTGATGGGCTCTCTGCTCGTGTGACAAACATGAGACAAGTTGTGTTCTAGAAATTCTTGTAAGTAGTTATAATGTAAAATTGATCAGATAACTCATCCTGTAAGATGGCGTGTTGCAATGTAGAGGCCTCCTGCCCTATCCTATGACTGGTGTGGGCGCTCAGCAGAGGGTGGGCATGGATGCTCAGATGCTTTTCAGAGGTCTATTGGAGGGCCTAGATCTCTATTGATACCATTGATGGTTGTATTCATGGCTTCCTGCCACGTCTCCTATCCTATTCTGTGACAAGATAGGGCGGGAGGCAACTGAACAGCCTTCTAATAAAAATGGGGGTGGGGGGTGAAGGGATTTATAGTTGAGATTGAGAACCTTGAACTCAATCCATTGAGAGCCAGGAGAGACTGGGTTGATGAACGATATGGAGTTTGGTGCAGGTGAGGATGTGGGCAGCAGTGTTTTGGATGAGAGTATCCACTCACACAAAAAAGTACTTGTTTTGCAGCAACAAATATTACTATTCTGAATCAATTTAAAAGATGTAGTTTGTAAGAATGCTGTGCATTACCCTTCAATGAGAGACGCTCGCTTTGTGCGCATTTTTCCAGGCTTGTTGTCATCGGGATCATGCCAGAATTGTGTATCAAAACGATCTGGTGGGATATCCACAACGCAGTTTCTTCCCTCATGAAGAACTTTCCAAAAGTGTTCAATGCCTTCCCCTGTACAGACAACAAAAGAATCGAGAGAGAAAGCTCCTCCATTCTTAGAAATTATTCTGTAATGTATGTCATAATGTTAGTAAATGTGGATTGATACCACTGAGGTTTGTAAATGATTTGTAGCTCCAGAACTCCCTCACTCTACCCTTCTATCTAGCCCCTCTCTATCTGTCTTCAAATCCTGCCTAACATCCTACCTCTTTGACCAAACCTATGATCACCTCCCCATCTTTCCTTCATTTGTTCAGCGTCTTTGGGAATTGTTCTGAGATGTTATGCAAATAATAATAAGAGCCCTTTTAAATGCAAGTTCTTGTTGTTACACCAGATACGGCTCCTGGAGAAGCGAGAGCGCAAGCTTTCCTTCTTCTTTTGTGATCCTGGACAGTAACTGGTAGCAGCTGTTCAACTATAGGGTTAGCCCCACCTGAGCCTGACACAACCTAAATTTAACACAGCAACAAAGTCAGGACTAAAGATCTTAGTCCAGATTAACACACAAATGCAATGCTGGAGGAGTTTTCATTGTGGGAGGTGCCATGCTTTGAATGAGACGTTAAACCGAGATAATGTCTGCCTGCTCAGGTGGAAGGATCCCAAGGCACGATTCAAAAAAGAGAATGGAGTTTCTTCCGGTTTCTTGGTCTACAATTCCCAGATAAAATAATTGATCATTCACTTGATGTAGGATATTGCCATTCACAAATTGTCAAAATGGATTGTTGTTTCAGAGCCACCAGAGACACAATGAGCTGTATCCCATTGTCGAGACATCTCAAAGTGCTTCACAGAATGTGATGTGTAGTGACTGTTTGAAATGTGCTGACTATATTTTGTAGGCAATGTCCCACAAACAGCCATGAAGTGAATGACCAATTGTCGGTCAGTACACCAGAAGAAACTTACAATTTACAATTTGATATTTGCAATATCAGGTTTTATTGGGAATTTTAAAAAAAACTTAATGAAATTTGTAGGAATCTCACAATTCAATATTTGCAAATGAAAGTTTCAATTAACCCACAACCAATCTCTGGGTTGAAATTATGGCATATTGGACCCCATTCTCACTAACTGTAGCTTCCTATCACTGCCCCAGTTGAAAATGAATGTTGTTACAGACTCCAAAAGTTCCTGCTAGATTCCATGTTGTTTTATTATTTATCATCATAACATCATTCTTTTCATCATTTTTATTATTGTTAAATCTTAAATTCCTACCTCCAGGAAAATTGCATCCAATTCCAACAATAGCTATTTCTTCGTTGCTTTCATCCATTTTTTTTTTGCTGTTGACACCTATTGCAAACTAATGAAGGGAATCATAACACAAAAAGGAATCAAATATTTTGGGGTAAGTATACCAGGCTGAGCTAGGTTCAATCATTACAGCAATATTTAGGCAACGCTATTAACAAGCCACAACATCTTTTACACCTGTACCATATTCCTGTAAAATCTTCTAGATTCACAATGTGAATGCAGATAATGCTGCGAGAGAAAGCATTTGTTTAAAGCCCACACATCCCAACAGTTTGCCATTGCAGAATGTTTTGCAGCATAAACATTATACCAAAAAATCTGAATTCTCTATGTGCCTCAGTCCAGTCCTTTATTTCCCAGCGCTGTTGCTGGAGGCAGTCAGGACGCAATGCCTCAATATAAACAGGGAGCGGCATTTCCCTTCACATCGAGAGGTGGTGTTCAGGGAACTAACAGAAGCAGCGACAACATCAGGACAAATCTGAACAATTCCCACCACCAGAACCATAGCTCTCAACATATGTAGGTGGAGAGCACAGCCACACACTTCATATAGAGACGGGCAGTGGGAGCTCCAATGGGGTACATTTAACCTGGAGAGTGCTCAGTGCTAAGTCCCACACTGGAGTGTTGCATTTCACAGGACAAACCTCTCACACTGATCAGAACGACACTAACTAGAAAAATAAATCAATGTAATTACTGCCCCTTTTCTACAAAGTATGTCACTCCTTTTGGTTACCAGTGTTTGTAAGTGAAAGCACACTTTTAGAGCACTTGTCTTGTTACTCATTCTTAAACAAACATCATCTTCAATCACGATAACTGCTCACGAACAAATAGAGAACAATACAATTTACATTTACATTGAGCCTTTCAGTCGACAGGAGGACGTTTGAAAGAGTTTTATATTGGTTGGTCTCCCAAGATGAAGAAAAATAAACATGAAACTATCCATGATTATTGCAAACTTGATAGCATTTTGAGTTGTATCATTTTACTATTTCCATCAAAGCTTCTTTTATTTTTTTAAAAAAAACTGAAAGTGATGTTGATTTATGAAGATGAAATGCAGGAATGTATTAATCTAAAAGATAATAGTACTTTGCGGACAGAAAGTCCTTCAACGAAGAAAATTCCCGACGACAGCGACAGAAAGCCCGAAAGGGTCCACGTGGAAGCTTAACATAGTATTTTGAAATAAAGTGCAAGATTGCCATGAAGGAAATTACTCCATGTAAATCTTTTCCATCAACCAGCCCCTCGAAACATTCTGAATAAAGTTATAACTGATTTTGTTTTTAAAGCTCTTACCTCCTATTCTATTCTATCTCTGATTTTGCTGTCTGTCTTTGTCATGAGCATGAACTGGTTTCTTTTATACTATTCCACAAATACTTATGTATGATCAGCATAATACCAACGACGGTAAGGAAATATGTAATTCTTATTATTAATGTTATAAATGTTGCCCTTGAACATAACTATAATATCATAATCATAATAATAATATTAATAATAAACCTCAAATTTGATACAGCGACTTGTCATGGCGTCCTGAGAAGTATTTATATGCAGTGATTAATTCATATTGTAATACAAGTGTATCCCTGACTGATAATGCACAAAGGGAAAACTGATACCAATCAAGTATTGGAGTGATAAAGAGTGTTGCGTATATGGTTTCTTTCAAGTTATTTTACGAGACAAACATTTTTGATTCTGCATATCAAATCATGAAAACTAAAAGAAAACTATATCTGGGTTTATCATTCTTGCTTTGTGTAGTCTGGTGTAGCAACAGTCAATATGATTTTTCCACGGAAGGATAATAATTATCAGTAACCTTGTATGTGTACACAGGGTGTGATGTTCACTGGGTTACAAGTCTCAGTTGAACATTAGTTCACAAACCGGAGGCACAGAGTCAGGGACCTGCCTTCAGTCGAATGACACACTTCCTGTACAGGTGTTATTTTACACATCAATGTATTGGCTTTAATCCGAGAGAGCTTCAGTCTGCTGACTGCCCAGTGTAGACCATGGCTCGGTGTCACACTGACTGTCTGGAGAAACCTCTCTGTAAAGTGTTCGGGAAGTTGGGAGCCCTCGTTGGGCGATATCCATGGTGGTTTTTGGTGATTCCTCTGATCATTTCTGTAGCTCTCGGCTCAGGGTTTTATTTCTTTGAGCAAAATGAAGCGAATGACATAGAGGAGCAGTTCACTCCTATTCACGGTCAGGCAAAGTCTGAGAGAGAGTTTATTATGAAACACTTTCCAACTCATGATTCTCTGCCCTTCTCGGCGCCGAGGCTCTACACAGAGGGGACCTTTGCTTCTTTCATCGCTGTTGCTAAAGGTGGCAACGTCCTCACAGAGGCAGCATTTAAAGAGATTCTGCGGCTCGATGGGGAAGTTAAAGGGTTTGTTGTTGATAAGAATAACTATTCCAGTCTTTGTGCCAAAGCAGGAGATTCCTGCTTCTCCAATGTAATCTTAGACTGTATACAGTACGATGCTGGTCAAGTGGAGAGCTTTAAATTTACTTATCCCGTCCAGAATAGCACAGAATGTAGTGGTTTCATTGGTTTGTCTGTGGGGGGAGTGAAGTTAGAGGGAAATAATATTAAAACAGCTTCTGCCGTTAGACTTGATTATTATTTACGAGATGACGACGCAGCAGAAAATGTAGTTTACGAGCAGTGGCTGAAGAAGTTTGTTGAAGATTTTCAAAACAAATCGACAAATCTGCAGTATATTCAGGTCAGTGACAACAACGACATGTCTCAGTGCACACGTTACTCATTGCAATCGCTTGTTGACAATCCTCTGCATCTCCAGTCACCTCAGTCTTTGCTCCTCGTTTCGTGTTTAAGTCTACAGTCAGTAAATATACTCAGTTGTCAGACAGACAGTTGTCACTTGCTGTGTGTCTTACTCCTCATGTGGAGCTTAACCAGACCAAGTGTTTGATAAGGAAATAGCTGACACATACTGGAATTAATTTGGAATTAGTGACTGCTCTATTCCTCCAAGTCGTGTCGCTCAGTGGTTCGAGCTCTCGTCTCGCAAGCGAAGACCCCTGGGTTCAATTCCAGGCAGGAGGCGAAACCTTGGGCAAGTTTCCTTACTCCACACACCTAATAATAATAATAATCGCTCCAAAAAACAAAACAATAGTAAACTGGTCATTTTCAATTCACGACTGTCTGTGGGACACTGCTGTGCGCAATTGGCTGCCATGTTTCACCCACAAATATACGGTCAATTCACTTTACAGCATATTCTGTGAAGCGCTTTGAGATGTCTAGAAGACGTGAAAAGTGCTATATCAAATTATTATTATTATTATTATTATTATGTCCACAAACCAGGCTGTCTGGTCTGACTCAGAAGTGACTTGGAGAACTGCAGATCCCCTGTTTCATGAACTGGACTACCAAGACCACCATAGAGGGGTCACCTCAACTCTAAGGAGACCCCACTTACCGCCCTCCCACAAGCAGGCTGTCATGTTTGGCCGACAAATACACAGTTACTACACCTGAAGGAAAACCCTGTGAAGCACTTTGAAACATTTTAAAAATGTTAAGACGCTATATCAAAGACAAGGATTATTATCACTATTAGTAACTAATATGCTGTAAATATTTCCTAATTTCCGTTACAGGTTTCATATTACACTTCCGTATCAAGACAGACAGAGTTTGAAGGAAGCAGCAAAGAAATCGTACCACTATTTTCAATCACCTATTTCCTTTCAATATTCTTTTCCATTGTGTCTTGTACGAGGTAAAGTTCTTTCTCTATTAAGTAAAGTTGGAATTCATTTTCATTGACTTACTGTGTGACATTAAGGTAAAAATGTATTATGTTACAGAAAGTGGTGCCATTTATTTACAGGTTGGACCCTGTAAGGAATAAGTTCTGGGTGGCTGCTCTGGGAGTGATATCAGCTGGATTTGCTGTGCTCACAGGCTTTGGACTGCTGCTGTTTTGTGGGGTTTCATTTGCCATCAACACAGCTAATGCACCATTCCTCATTCTCGGTTAGTATCATTTTGACATTTCTTTAGTAGACTCTCGTCTCCAAGAGTTCAAGTCCCACATTCGGAGTCCTGTAGAGTATGTGGAGTCCTGTAGCGTATTGATTAGAGCACTCGATTCACAAGAGAGAGGAACTTGATTCGATTCCTGGGAAGGGCAAAATATTAGTTGTTTCCTTACTCCACACACCTCTGTTTACCGAGCAGTACATAGGAACCAGGTTGTTAGTCGATTAGCGATTTGCTTTTCCAGAGGTAATAATCCCTTCAAATATCAAATGAAAAATATAATAATTTGGTGAATCACTCCATAAATTTTTGTGACACTTAATTGGCTACCAGGTTTCACCCACAAAATATATAAAATATCCATTGAGCTGAGAAGGTTGAGGGGTAATTTGATTGAGGTATTTAAGATGATAAAGGGATTTGATAGAGTAGATACAGAAAAGCTAATCCCCCTCTGGTGGGGGAATCCAAAACAAGCGGAATAATCTTAAAATTAGAACCAGGCCATTTAAGAGTGAAATCCGGAAGCATTTTTTCACTCAAAGAGTGGTAGAAATCTGGAATTCTCTCCCCCAAAAGGCCATGGATGCTGGATCCATCCACACCTTCAAAAGTGAGGTTGATAGACTGTTGGATGGTCAGGGTATTAAGGGATATGCGGAGAAAGTGAGAAATTGGAATTGAAAGGCTGAGTTGAGGTGCAGATCAGCCATGATCTAATTAAATGGTGGAACAGGCACGAAGGGCTGATCGGCCTCCTCCTGTTCCTATGTTTATATGTTTCTACAGTCAATTCACTTTACAGTATATTCTGTGAAACTCTTTCAGATGTCTTGAAGGCACTGTATCAAATGGAAGGATTATTATTATATTATTCACACTTTCTAACATGATACTCCATTGCAATCTGTTCTGGGAGAGGTGCATTGTTGGAGGTCCCGTCCTTCAGATAAGCGAATTAGCTTTTCAGATAGACGTTAAAGATCACATGGCACGATTCAAAAAGAGAAGGGAATTTCAAGCAGTGTTTTTTCTGTCTCTCTTTGTCACTGCACTTACAGTATATCCTGTGAAGCACTTTGGGACTTCTTCCCAACTTGAAGAGACTATACGAAATATAACGATTACTGTTATCTTTATTATAACTGGGGAAAAATATGTGAAAAATATGCAAAATAAATGCATTTATGAAGTTGCACGCGGAAGTTTTATAAAGTTTTATTAAATACAGTTGAGGATTAGTGATAGAAATACTGTAAAGACAGAGAAAGAGACACATAGAGAGACAGAAAAGACAGACAGAGAAAGGGAAAGAAACAGGAGCCACAGAAAGTTACAGCACAGAAGAAGCCATTCGACTTCTCATGTCTATGCTTCCTTTTAAAGTGCAATCTATTAAGTCCCTTTTACCAGCTTTTCCCCTATTACTCCTCCAGATTACCTACACGCTTTGTAAGTTTATGAGTGAGTTTAGTGAACTCTTATTGGTTTCTCTCAAGGGGGAGGGGAGGAGGGTATTGTTTTTAATGAAATCTTTTTACTAAACTGTTTAATGCCATTAGTGGAAAAGAGTTTTTTTTAAAAAACATCAGCATTTGGAGTCCTGTAACTTAGTGGTTAGAGAATTTGCCATGCAAGCGAGAGGACCTGGGCTCGATTCCCAACAGGGCGAAACCTTGGGCAAGTTTCCTTACTCCACACGTCTAATAATAGTCCCTCCAAAACAAAACAATAATAAATTGGTCACTTTCAATCCACGACTGTTTGGGGGACGCTGCTGTGCGCAATTGGCTGCTGCGTTTCGCCCACAAATATACAGTCAATTCACTTTATAGTCAATTCTATGAAGCGCTTTGAGATGTCGAGAAGACGTGAAAAGCGCTATATCAAATGCAAGGATTATTATTATTATACGCATTGTTTGTTTATCCACAAAGGGGCCATGTCCAGATTTTTCATGAGCATTGGTACCATTTCAAATAATGCACACAAATAGCCTCACAGGAGATGGAGCACTTGAAGGTCTAACATAATTTCTTCTGTAAATATTTTTCAGTCTTCAAATTACACATTTTTAAATCCCATATGTTACTTCATCAACGTTTGAGATCTGCAATAATGTTTTCTGAAGATCTTAAGACTGATCTGTCACTTTACATGTTTTTAATTTACAGGTATTGGTGTTGATGACATGTTCATTATGCTCTCCAGTTGGCAGAAGACAAAGGTTCATGCTAAAATTGAAGATCGCATGGCAGCCACATATGCTGAAGCTGCCGCTTCCATTACCATAACGACTCTGACTGATGTGATAGCCTTTTACATTGGTGTCATGACACCTTTTCGATCTGTGCAGTCATTTTGCTTGTATACAGGTACTACCGTTTTGTTCTGCTTTATTTACAACATTACGTTTTTTGGGGCGGTTCTGGCACTGAATGGGAGAAGAGAAAACAGTAACAGGCATTGGCTGACTTTCAGGAAGATTCAAATGCACCATCAACCAGGAGAATCGAAATTCTATGGAATGTGCTGTGTTGGTGGGGAGTATGATGAGATGTCCGGTGCTGAAACAGAGCATCCAATTTATCTCTTCTTTAAGAAATATTATGGCCCATTCCTCACTATTATATGGACCAAGGTATTTGTGATACTGCTGTATGCAGGGTATTTGGCAGGTGGTATCTATGGTTGTTTCCAGTTACAGGAAGGATTTGATCTTAGAAATCTGGCCACTAGCAGCTCATATGTGATTAAATTCTATGACCATGAAGATATGTTTTTCTCACAATATGGACCTCGGGTCATGGTATCAGTCTCAGAATCAGTGGACTATTGGAACACCAGTGTTCAGACTGAAATTGAACGCTGTATGGCCAAATTTGAAAATAGCACTTATGTAGATAGAGAGTTATCAGAGTCTTGGCTTCGAACATACATTGACATTTCTAAACTGATGTCTATTGACATAACGGCGTCTGATTCCTTCATAACAAATTTACCTAAATTGTTTAAGATTGTCCCTTTATTTCAACAAGATATTGAACTCTCACAAGATAATAAAAGCATAACAGCATCACGGTTTTTTATTCAGACCAAAAATGTCAATGACTCAATTGCCGAAAAAGATATGATGATTGAACTGAGAGATCTGGCCAAGAGCTGTATAATCCCTTTACAAGTGTATCATTCAGCGTTCATTTACTTTGATCAATATCTTGTTATACAGATCAACACAATACAGAATGTGGTTGTGGCAGCAGCTGCAATGCTGGTTGTTGCCTTGTTGTTAATTCCGAATCCAATTTGTTCTGTGTGGGTGACATTAGCTGTCGCCTCTATTTTAGCTGGTGTGGCTGGTTTCATGGCTCTGTGGGATGTTAATCTAGACTCCATATCTATGATTAATCTGGTTATTTGTATTGGGTTTTCAGTTGACTTCACAGCCCATATTTCATATGCATTTGTTTCAAATGACAAAGCAAGTGCCAATGAACGTACCATCGAAGCATTGTACACTCTTGGCTATCCCATTATCCAGGGGGCGCTCTCCACTATTCTGGGTGTTGTTGTGTTGGCTGCTGCAAACATTTACATATTTCGGACATTTTTCAAAATCATGTTTCTTGTCATATTGTTTGGTGCAATTCATGGCATCGTTTTTATGCCGGTGTTTCTGACATTTTTTGGAGTGTGTGGCAAGCAAAAGGAGACACCAACTGAAATGGAAAGTACTTCAAAAAGTCAGTTGCCTATTGATTCGTTTTAGACTGAAGATCTTCTCCCCCTCCCTTGCCTCCTTCAAGACCTCTTTTAAGATCCTCTTCTTCAACCGTGCCTTCGGTCATCCCCCTTACCCCCCGCCCTTCACCCTCCCTGATCCCGATCCCCAGCTCGGGTCCGAAACACTGATTGTCCAGTGCCTTGGGATGTCCTCCTGACGTGAAAGGAGCTATACAATTGTAATTTTCTTCTGAACACCTGCCATGTACGTTTTCATACTTAAACTACTCTTGGTTAAGACTAAACACATGAGAGAATCAACACAATGTTTTTATACATCATAATACTGCAATTGTTTTTACACTAGACACACGAGAGAATAAGATGGAAGTGTTTCACAGATATTTCACAACACCATGTAAAGTGTTGTGACTGCATTTTATAGACAAAATCCTATAAAATATTCTCACGGAGCCCATGTTTTTTNGCTTATCACAGAAGCCCTTGTCCTCTTTATTTTCCCATTATTGTCTACCTGAGGTCCAAAATTTTCATGATTTTAATCTGAAGATCATTGTTTTAAAATGCAAGAACCTGCAGAATTTTTGAAGAAATAGAATATTCAGAACAACTGGTATTTAGATAGTGACCTTCACGCAAGTCAAATTAATAAACAAAAATTAAATTAGATATTAAAATTCAGGTTTAATTTGTAATATGTTTTTTCTGCACGTTTTTTTAGGAACTGTTTCTCGACACAATTTTGAATTTTAAGTCTTAGGGTGCTTTCTATTGTAAAAGACCTATTCCCTATCAAGTTTGTTTCGTTGAAACGGTGTATTATCTAGACTCCAATCTGCACATTTAATATTCTAAGGAAATGTTGACAAGTATATTACCGTCTCCCAAAGTTAATCGAAGCTAAAACTCTAGAATATCGACCTAACCATATCTCCTGAAACCATATTCATGGAATTGTATCAAGAGCAGCTCAATATGTTAGTTCCAACTTTTGAACATTATCTGGAGTTATATTGTACACTCTACACTGCACTGATTTATGTATTTTGAAATGCAGAGGTTTTGTTAATCTTGTCAAGCATTTATAAGTGAATGCCAATGATACTGAGAAAACAGTGAATTTTGACTTTCTATCTACTATGAAAGATTTGTATTATATGTAAATTATCTAAATCTGCTGATGATACCAGTCTGGGGCAGTTACACAGTAGCTGGAAAAACACAGAGGGATTGATTACTTCAGAAGTAGCCTCACAAGGCGAGCGTTCATTTCATGCAGATCAATTCCATTTGATGAGATTGAGGTCGGAGAATAAACAGTGGGAATACGAAATTAAGGATCTTGGTAGACAGGGGAGTAAACAAGAGAGGGATTTGTGGGACAGGTGGAGGCAGATTATGTCAGCCCTTTCATGAGGGATTTAGTAACTATTTGGCAAATACATTGATTAAGGTATTTAAGAAATAGAGTAACATATGATTTTTTTTCCATGGGACTGGTCAGGTGGTCTTTTCGTATCCTGTCTACTTTTCTGCACTTAGATTCTGAATAACAATCAATGTTAAATCCATTGAATTCTGCTTGGGTGCATGTCTTTTTAAAGTTCTCTTTTTAATATTAATCTTTATACATGTTTCTATATATGTTTGTGTTCATTTGAAATTGTATGTCAAGAACATATTGTTCATTGTTTGTTGAATAAAAGCTTACGGAACAAAGATTCTTCCATTTTCACAGAAAGTTCTGTCTTTCTTCATCTCTGCAACATTGCTCATCTTTCTCCACTACCTAACACCAAATGCTGCCAAAATTCCCTTGCAGTGTGACAACCTAGTTTATAGCTTTACTAGTTATCCCGTACGTTTACAATGAAGTGACTATGGTTATTTTACACAGAGTTAATGTTTAATATATCATGCTCCCAAACAACCTGGCTCCTTCATTTATCTGTTCCATTAATTATTTTATGTAACCTTTACAAAATATCTCTGAAATATAACATTAGGAACATAAAGGTAAAACATTAACTTTTACTCGAGCTTATAAATATTAATAACAATATTGATGGATTAGTTTGTCATAACTTTAAATGCTATAATTTCTATAAAATAGATTGTGCAACTGATATGGAGCCTAACCTGCCCACTTTCTATGGGATGTGAAACACAATGCTGTCCCTGCAACTGGTGTATCTTCCTCTTCCCCACCCTACACCCCCAGCACTCACGTCTTCTGCTTCTGTCCTCACACTTTTACCCTCTTCTCTCTCCCGTCCCTCTCCACCCTCACAACCCACCTGAAACCTACCACTTGCTCCCTTGACCTCCTCTCCCCACCAAACTGCTGCACTCCTAGCTGGTGGCTATAGTCAAGCTGTCCCTGTCTTCTGGCGCTGTCCCCTCTCCCTCAAAGCCACCGTCATCACCAACAACAGTAACAGAGGTTATACCTTTAAATGGAAAATGATTTCAATGTAGAAAAGTGTGAGGTGGTACATTTTGGTAGAAGGAATAAGGAAGTCACATACATCCTGGAAAATAAAAACCTAAATGGGGTAGAGGAGCAAAGGGATCTAGGGGTACACATACACAATTCACTGAAAGTAGCATTGCAGGTTAATAAGACCATAACAAAGCAAACCAGGCATTGGGGTTCATTTTTAGAGGGATAGAAATGAAATGCAGGGAAGTGATGGTAAACTTCTCTAGAACCTTGGTCAGACCACACTTAGAATACTGTGTGCAGTTCTGGTCCCCACATTATAGAAGGGATGTAGAGGCACTGGAGAGGGGGCAAAGGAGATTCACAAGGAAGATCCCCGATCTGAGAGGTTATACGGATCTGGAAAGGCTGAACATTCAGGGCAGGCTCGAGGGGCCGAATGGCCTACCCCTGCTCCTACTTCCTATGTACTTGGACTGTTGTGTCTTGAAAAGAGGAGGGTAAGGGGTGACCTGATAGAGGCCTTTAAAATGATGAGAGGTTTTAATAGGTTAGACATAGGGAAGATGTTTCCACTTGTGGGGGAGACCAAAACCAGGCGCCATCAATATAAGATAGTCACAAATAGATCAAATAGGGAAGTTAAAAAAGAAATTTCTTCTCACAGAGAGTAGTGGGAATGTGGAACATACTACCCACAAGGAGTTGTTGAGGCAAGTAGATTAGATGTATTTAAGGGAAAACTAGAGAGGTACATGAGGGAGAAAGGAATAGAAGGTTATGCTTGAAGACTTAGTTGAGGAAGGGCAGGAGGAGGCTCATGTGGAGCATAAACACCGGCGTAGACCAGTTGGGCCGAATGGCCTGTTTCTGTGCTGTATATTCCAATATATTCTAAGGTAATAACAACTTGCATTGAGGGGTAGCATCTCAGAGTGCTTAACAGTGGTAGATTCTGAATCCGAGCGAGGGGGAAGTGACCATAAGCATGGTTGAACAGGAATATCTTCAGGTGTGATCTGAAAATGGGGAAGAAGGAGTGGGCCAGATGGAGGGAGGTGGGATAGCGTTCCAGAGTTCAGTGGCATATTGGCTTAAAGTATGACTGCCGATGGTGGAGCAGAGGGGAGGAGGGATCAGCAGGAAGTCGGAGCCAGCCAAGCCGAGGCGGCAGGCGGCGGAGTGAAGAGTAAGCATGTCGGACAGACAGGGAGTTGCCAGGGTATGAAGGGATTTGTAGACGAATGTGAGGATCTTGGTCAATCCTTTCTGTGATTGGGTGCAGGTGAAGATTGGTGAGGACTGATGGGATGGGGACATGGAGTTTAGAGCTGGTGAGTATACGGGAAGTTTTAAATTAGTTGGATTTTGAAGGTAGTGGAGCTGGGGTTCCTGGGGAGCAGGTCATTGGAGTAGTGGGGACAGGAATGTGACAAGAGCGTGGACTCCTCTTTCCCTTCTCTAAAAAACAACCCTTGATCCCTCCAAACTCTCCAACCATTGGCCCATCTCCAACCTATCTTTCCTAACCTAATAGACAGTTCATTTAGTTCGGGGGAAGACCTCAGTGGTGTCTCAGCATCCCTGGTAGGAACAGATATTACTCACTGTCACTGTGAGTGGTTAGTATTGCAGACCCCTCTTATGCCTCACTCTCACCTGCAGTTTCCCTCCCATCTCCATCACAACTTAAAGCACTGAGTCTACGCCCTCATTCTTCCTTGGCCTGTGCCAAAGCTTTTATACTGCTAAAGCTCTCCCTCCCCACCAACCAGGACAGTCCAAAGCCCCCTTATAATAAACTCATTGTTTATCGGACCCCAAATTGCCAATCCCAAAACTCTGTTACATTAGTAAAAAAAGTTGCTGAATCAGATGTATATGAATCACAGTTTCATGAAATGTTCAAGATTATGAAGGATAACGATACGGTGAATTGGACATCTTTTTGGGACGTCTTCCCGATGTGAAAAGTGCTATGCAAAATGTTAGTGTTATTGTTACTATTCTCATTATGAAGCAAAGTTTTACCTATGACAAAGTGTATTGGAATCCTTAGATTTCCACACAAAACAATGTACTGTTTTAGGAGGAGTACTGAATAGAGAGACTGGAAAGTGGAGATTGGAGAGAGAGAGAAAAGCATCAGAATAAATAATTGTTCTTTTTGGTAACAAATATCGAAGCATATCCTAAAACAAGCACAAAGAAGAAATCTGTAATCAATCAATAATTACTTATTGAGTCAGTAAAGAGAAGGCATACATTTCAGACAATAAGAAAAAGAATTAAAGGGAAGGTTAGAAAAATATTCTTTACACAGAGTGTTTGGGATGTTACAAAACCATAGCTTTTAAAACTCATCATTACAAGTTGAAGTTTGTTTTTAAATTCCCACTAGATTCAGTTTATATACTGAACCCTTCTTTATTACTGACAGCCACATACCAGCAACAACATCAGTATATTGCTTCAGGTATTTTTCCTCTGTTTGTCAATTAGCGGATTGCTTTCCAGGGGTAATAATCCCTTAAAAATAACAATAATAATAAATTGGTCGCTTCAATCCTGCAATTAGTTGCCACATTCCGGCCAAGAATATACAGAAAACTCACTTTGCGGTATATTCTGTAAGTGCTTTGAGACGTCTTGAAGACGTAATAAGGCGCTGCATCAAATGCAATGATTATTATTTATTGCTATAGTTGAAGCTAGTTTCATAAATTATTTTGAAAGGTAGATGCCTGCCGAAGAGGAGTATGAAAGAGCATAGGAAACAAGCAGAAAATGGGATTAGATTAATTATCGTCCTTGGGGGAGAGGTATGCAAGGGTCTCCTTGGAGCTGAACTGGCTCCAAGGTGACATGTTTGGCAATGGAATGTGGGAATGTGGTGGTCTCGGTACTCCTATTCCTGAGCCAGATAGGTCTGTAGTGCTCCAGGGCTGTGACTGCACAGCCAGCCTGGCTCATCAGCAGGACTTGAAAGGGAAGAACAGTCACTGGGGGCGGGGAATCCTCCCTCTCAGCTCATGCTAACCCTGCAAGCCAATTCCCTAACGTGTAGGGTGGTGCTAGCTGGACAAGCAGCAGAAAAACTTGCCAGATAGCAATACCAATGGCAAGCCATGTGGTTTTGGCTGGTTACAGTCCAGCAGTACACCAATGCACACTCTCGAGTCATCAAGCCTTAGCTCTTGACAACTTGCACTTAATACTTTCCAGAATTTGCTGAGTGTGTTGGGACTTCATTAATAAACTTCAGCCACCGCTGATAAAGTACATTTTCTGGTGCCTCGTCACCTCAAAAATAATAATCAAGCCTAATGGCAGAAGGTGTTTGAATATGATTTTCTTCTAACTTCATTTCCTCATTAGGTATCTGCCTTCAGCCTGGTGGTAAGAAACTGTAGGAAGAAACTGTAGTTTCTTCAGTAAGAAACTCAGAATACCATGTGTACTATTCTTTTGAGCTTTGAGCTTCTAAGGCAACATAATAATCGGCTACGTTTGGTCTGGTATTTGTTTGACTTTGGGCTACAAACATATTTTAATTTCCTGGCAACCCTGCTTGCACATCGACCGACCTCAGGTCACCTCTGACCTTCTCAACTTCATAACCCAAAGCAGGGTGACCGCACATCCCCATTTTCTGAGGACAGTCCCGGATGAGGAATTGTGTCCCTGGCTAAATTTGCATTTCTTATTGGGAGGATGTCCCAAAGCACTTCATCGGATTTACTATGAAGTGAGTTGACTGTAACAGCCAATTTGTGCACAACAATGTCCTAAAACAACCATGAAGTAAATTACCAATTTTATTTGGGGAATTGCTGTCCAGGACACCGGGAG